TGTGTGTGTGTGTGTGTGTGTGTGTGTGTGTGTGTGGGCACACAATCCATTGTCCTGTCTCACTAATCACAGCAGCCCGAGGCTTCATTTAATCAGCCGAGTTCGGCGCGGCGTCCCATAATAACTTATCAGCAGCTGCAGCTTATAGATGAAGGCTTAATTGCCAAAACGTTGCGGTGCTTCTCTGTCTCTTATCATTTTAATGTAAAACACAGATGCTATAGTGGCTAAAATCACCTGTTTTAAAGCAATCACGATTTTTTAAAACCGAACCTCATTAGTTGTGATATTGTTTTTACTGTCATTTGTAACAGAAAAGGATGTGCATGCAGTGATGTTGGGGATAAAGTTGATTTCAAATTTTTGTAGGACTGAAGCTAGCAACACTCCTGATGTTATTCAAATCTGTTATTTTCCGCGGTGCTGTGAACTGTAATGTCAGCGTAGTACATTTAAATGGGGAGGGAAGAAAAATAATAATCAGTGTATAAAGCCAGAAAATGCTGCAAAAATCCTTTCAAAGGATCCACAGTCTTCAAAATTGGAATTTGATGCATTTTATTAAAAGAGGCTGTTGGAAAATGGTTCATTGTCTCCTGCTGTTCTCTGTTAGAAAGCACAATGATCGTCATGTCATCCAAACCAGCGCACTTCTTCATTAGAAAGTGTTTGAGCTGCAGCTGGACTGGAAGAGAAATCTGACCGCTCGGATGAACGTTCTTCTAAAGTTTATTCAAACTTGACATACCCAGCTTGTAGCATGAAGAAATATAATCTGGTGCAGTCTTAGAGCTCATTATTGCGTCTTTAATCTGCCATTCTGGTCTGACAATAATAATAATACATCCAGTTACATGGAAAAAGACGTAAAAATTGGTTGTTGGTGAGGCGTTTTTTAGCTTGTAAACATTATAAGTGTAATATAGTACTTCAAATGAAACCTTACAAAGGTTCCAGGGAAAAATGTTTCTTTTACAAAAGTAAAAAAAATAATAATAATGTGCCAATAAAATCCTGTTTAATGGGTCAGAGTAAGGAGTCTCTACAGTAACTAAGTAGGAGGAGTTTTATTTTGTGGGAGGAGTTAGCCCAAGACGTGATTGGTCAGATTGAAGGTAGGGTTTGAAGAAGCTGGGGGGAAGCGGGGGATAACTTGGTCGAGTCGGACAGGAAGCACTTGTGTTTTTTAAGATTAATTTCAGTCATAACTTGAGAAAAGAAGGTGCTAGCTGCACGGAATTTGAACACCGTACATGTGAAAGGAGTGTAAAAAGTTTGCTCAGTCAAAACATCCCTAACCAGCCCGTAAAAAATCGCTAAAAATCAATATGAATATGAATATTAGTCATAATTTGAGACAGAAAGCCGCCTGGATTACTGAGATGCATCAGAAAAACAATAAATGATGGTTATATGTTCACAATAATTTTAATTTGTATCATTGTTCTGTTTTAAACCGTACATAGACAGTCAATAATTTATATTATTTTTCTATTATCAGTACTTCCTCTTTTTGCCCCACAAGACACGTCAATTTGACCAATCATGATTAGGGAAATCTCTGACCAAACCAAGACCTCTACCAATCACGAGTAAGGTCAACTCTGCCCACACCAAGACCTCCACCAATCATTGGTAGGGCCAACTCCGCCCACAACAAGACCTCCACCAATCATGAATAGGTCCAACTCCGCCCAAACCAAGACCTCCGCCAATCACAGATAAGGTCAACTCCGCCCACATCAAGACCTCCACCAATCACTGGTAGGGCCATCTCCACCCACACAAAGACCTCCACCAATCATGAGTAGGGCCAACTCCACCCACACCAAGACCTCCGCCAATCATGAGTAGGGCCAACTCCGCCCACACAAAGACCTCCACCAATCATGAGTAGGGCCAACTCCACCCACACCAAGACACCTGGCCAATCAGGGGTAGGGCCAACTCCACCTACACCAAGACCTCCGCCAATCATGAGTAGGGCCAACTCCGCCCACACCAAGACACCTGGCCAATCAGGGGTAGGGCCAACTCCACCCACACCAAGACACCTGGCCAATCAGGGGTAGGGCCAACTCCACCCACACCAAGACACCTGCCAATCACGAGTAGGCCCAACTCCGACCACACCAAAACCTCCGCCAATCACGAGTAGGGCCAACTCCGCCCACAC